CCGGTCCGGGCGTACAACTGAGTTCATGAACTTCTTCGTGCTGGATGGCGCGGACATGGTACTACGACACGTGATCATCTACGGAGTGTCCGGATTCGACCGAATGGGCCAAACTCTCAACGACATCTGGATGCCAGATGTCAAGCAGAACCAACTACCCGGCGTGCTCGCGGGTCTCGCGCCGATCCGCTCCCTAGTCAACGTCGGCGGCGGCGTGCGCGACCTAGTTGTCATCCCAATGCGCGAATATAGAAAGGACGGGCGAATCGTGCGCAGCATCCAAAAGGGCGCACTAGCCTTTGCCAAAACAACCTCCAACGAGCTGGTCAAACTCGGCGCAAAACTAGCGATTGGCACACAAACCGTCCTCCAAGGCGCCGAGGACCTGCTGACTCCCAACGCACCAACCTTCGACGACGACTCCGCGGACGAAGACGAAGCCAAGAAGATCTCACTATACGCTGACCAGCCGGTTGGAGTGGTACAGGGACTGCGTGGGGCGTTCAGTGGCCTCGAGCGCGATCTACTTTTAGCACGCGACGCGATCGTCGCTGTACCAGGGGAGGTGGTCGAGAGTGGGAGTGCCAAGGCGGCCGCGAAGGCAGTCTGGAAGCGTGCGCCCACGGTCATCCTCCGACCCGCTATCGGGGTTTCCAAGGCTGTGGGACAGACTCTGCTTGGTGCGGGGAATACCCTGGACCCGAGCAATCGGCGCAAGATGGAAGATGTAAGTGATCTCCGCGGAGCCCTGTTTTGGTTCGTGGCTGTGGCTGACTACGATTTTAGAAGTATAAACGGTACTGAGACTGAGAGTGAGGTGCACGAGGGGTGGTTTGGCCCTTGCATACTTCGTACATACATGCATATTTGTTGGTTCCTTTTCTGGTTTTTGATTTGATTTTGATTTTTCCGAGTTCAGGTTACTTTCCTCTTTGCTTCAGTTCGATACCACATCACGACCGCATTACAATCTTAAATTGCTCTTGCTTGTTCTTTCACATACTTCCAGGGATTTTCAGTTTCAGTCTATATGACGTGGGAGTCCCGAGTTCAATAAATGATCGAGGTCTTAAGCCAGATCTATTGCTACGGATCCACCAAGTACCAGAACCAGAAGAAGATAGCGAAAAGCGATGTCGATCGCAGTTCGTACAACGCGGTAGCGTCCGAGTATACTCCTTGAGGCAGTTGCCACCATGAAGACTCCGTACCACATTAAATCACTGGAAAATTGTGTAAGTCCCGACGATCACCTAGGCAGCCTGTCACCTGGGCAGCCTGGGGCAACGAGCCAGCAATCTGTTTAAAATTGCATTCTGCATGCTGCATGTGAAACAAATCTGGGGGTTGCAGTAACATTGGCAGATGACTTGGGCACAATTAAAGATGAGCTGGCATGCCGATCTATGTACTTACAGCCAACGTGTGCATCTGCATGTGTGCCTTGATTCTCTCAGGTACGAGGGTACCTCGTACGAGGTGCCCAACCATGGAACAAAGATCAAGAGTCCAAGTCCAGTCCAGGCCAACAGAGGACATAATGTATGTGTACGTACTATTCCACTTCCTCCCAGCCGAAAGACGACACGAATCAGCCATTGCGAGAGTCCAGATAGACGAGATAAAACCCGTGGTTCCTTGCGGACTGCATCAACGGTGCATCACTGCAAAGTACCCCATACATACCCAAGGTACGGATAAGCCCTGGGAAGGAAGTCCGACCATGACCAAGTCATGATGTTGCCGGTGGAGAAGGGGGAAAAAATATTTTCTTTTGCCACATTTGAAGTCGAACCGGATGTCCAATCATGGGGGCTGGACCCCACAGCCGAAAGGAAGATTTTTGCCTGGCTCGGTCGTGTGCTAAGACACAGGTTCGTTCTGTTCGCCGACTGGTTCTGGGCTTTAAGAGGCGGTTGGTGAAGATTAGGGATTGGGGTGGATGATTGGTTGGAAATAGATGGACGAAACTAACTAACGGACTAGACTAAAGGGGAGATCGAGGCTGAGATCATCTGCAGGTGATTTGGGCGCGACAGAATATTCCCTTACTAGTATCATTCAGGCATCCTAGCATATAACATAGCGTATAACATGGTTCTATCAACATATATCAACATAACATCCCTATACAAAGATGACGTCGACCAGTTGATCGACGAACCATGGGTCACTGACAGTCCGGTCTCGACCTTTTCCTTTGCTTTTCTCTTCTTCTTCGTTGGATCGGTAGGGCCGGCTTCCCCTGGCTTTTAACTAGTTCGACTGGGTCGATGGGTCGAGTTCGACTGGCTATAGTATACTCATTGTTCGTGATTGAGTGGATATACTCTGAGATCCAGGCACATTCCGTTCGTCCCGGTTTATATTTTCTTTTTCTTTTCAACATAAAATTGCTCTCCCTGCCCTTCTGTACCTTGCAGTCTTGTTTATTGTGATCCATTGACATCTTGCGACCGGTAAGCCTATCTCCTATCCCTTGCGGCCTGAATCTGACGAATCAAGTTCAGTGTGGAGAAGTGGGTTTGGATCTACTGCATTGGATATGTCGACAATCTAAAGAGAGGTTTGAGAAAACATCCAGAAGCAGGCCTTCAAGCAGACACGCGAAATCGGGGATATTCGCAATTCCAACATGAATGAAATCCTCAACCACTCCGCCGCCAACGACATATGGCATGGCGAGCTGCTGGACAGCCCCCTCTGCCACAAATGTCTCGATCTCCATGATAACCATGCATGTACTACTCCTCTTTCCAAACCTTTTTTGGACGCGGGAGACGCTTTGTCCCTCCCCCCTCGATCCATCAAATCTCGTATCACGGGAGACCTTTCCATCCACGACTACCACAAGTTCCTCTCCAAGGCTGCAGACCGCATTGGCGATCCCGTCGATCAGACAGGAAAGAAATTGAAGCGAAAAACTGCTGCGTTGCATTTGAATCGCCCGTCCCCTCTTTCCATCTCTTATCCTGTATCTATATCGTCCGTGGCCTCGAGTCCTCCGCCGCTGTCTCCTTCCTGCTCGCAAAGCATTGTCTCTCATTGGAGTGAAGAGCCTGAGATCGGGGAAGCCCAGACTGGTAAGCATCTATGACTATCCGGTCGATTCTCTCGAGCATTTATTAACACTTCATAGTTCAGTACCGATCTACACAAAGCCCTGGACTCCCCGTTGTCTCAGATCTCGGGAATCGTGCTAGACCTAACAGGAAACGATTGGTAAGTTGGCTGAGACACTACACAAAGACCCAGCTCACTTATTATAGTCCAAGAATACCTTTAGGGAAAAGCTCCAGCAAAAGGCCCAAGTTCAAGCGGAAGAAGAAACAGAAACAGAACCTGAGTCTGCCTCCACACCTCAACCCTCGGACTCAATGCTGGCCAGTACGCAGGCCGTTGCCACCGTCTCACACGGTGGTGCCTGCTTTGAGATCCTGAATCCGCGCAAGTCGCTGGATCTAGCACGCATCGTCTCATACATTGAAGACGTCGATAATTGCTCCGTCTCCACAGACAATACCCGAGACTCGACTTTTTCCATCGAGCAAGGACTGGACCGGGTGTCCCTGTCCCAATTCACCGATGCCTCATTGCCATCATTCTATTCCAGCAATTCGTTGTACACCTCTATCTCACCCGATCCCTCGACAGCCAAAGGTCAGCCGGCGGATATCACCTCCCCGCGAGTCGGCGAACGCGTCCGGTCTCTATCAGACTATTCTGTCAACGAACAAAGCTTCAACTACTGGAGCCGACCTGCACAGAGCACTGACAACGAGCTACCCTTCGAAACTCATGACTACCCAAGCAGCGGCAGAGAGGGCCCACAATCACCACCCATGGCTCCCATTACGGAAGAAACCAGCCTTCCAAATCTAGATTTTTCCCGTCGACCTTCCACCCCATCCACGCAGACCTTCTATTCAGAAAGTGAGATCGGCGAGCCGGGCTCACCCGTCTACGCAAACGGAGATTGGGCTCAAGTCGACGAGCGCGACAGAGGCATCTTATTCGACGTACGGGAAGACGAAACAACACCCGACCACTACCACGACTATTCATCCTCACAAGAACATCAAGACCTGCCAACACCCCGCGAACCGCATCTCGAGACACCAAGTGGTTCACCCATGCACTCGCCCATGTACTCCTCCTTCGACTCCGCCTACCCCTATCCAACCTCAATCTCCACTAAACCCCCTTACTCTAGCTCCTTCGATCCCTTCACCTACGACCCGGTGTACCTCGACCCACACGTCCAGTCTGTTCTCGCAGCCGCGAACGCAGAGACGATGGGGTTACGGGGTAATCCTGCACGCGCACTGGATGAGCTGCAGCGAGGGGCGCGGACTGGTGCAACCAGTCCGCGATTCGAGTTCCACCGGAGAAAGAGTGATGAGCGGAAGACTCAGAAGAAAAGGCTGAGGAAGTTCTTTGGTTGGAAATCTGGGCATTAGGGAGTTCTGTGAACTTGCCTTGTGTCCGTTACAGCTGGATTCTGTGAATCGACAGCTGGCTGTGTGGTGACTTTTGGACCGGGAATTCGATTATGATTTACGTCCATTATGATGGAAGAGCGAGGCGCTTCGGTGTTGGATTGGATTGGATTGGGTGGACTGGCTGGATACGGGTCTCGATTCTTTTCTTTTGTTCTTTTCTACCGTGTCCTTCTTACTACTCTTATTACACTTTCTTTCTGGGTCTGAGACTCACATTGTATCTATATCATTTTACTTACATTGACGCATGTCAACATTCCGGTTATCTCAAACTTTTGAACTCAATCATTATCCTGGAATAGCAGTAACCTTTGTAAATGTCCACAGGAACGGGTCTACTAACGCAGATCAATCTCCAACTCCGGAATATTTCTTTCTTTATTTCGGGTATCAAATCGAGGTATATACAACGCCATCCATGGAAACCAAAATGCAACATCACCAACCTTAACCTAATCTAAACCCAACCCACCCCAACCCAACCCAACCCAATCCAACCTAATCATCATCCCTCTCCACCATCGACGCCAACGCCGCACTAACAAGACTCTTCCTCCGAAGACCCTGCTCATTCCTCTTCCCAAACCCATAATGGCTCTTCTCAATGCGACTCGCCAAAACCCCAGCGGAAGAACTCTTCCTCCTACCCCTCCCCTCCGCCACACCCTCCGGCCCAAACCGACTCCGCGACAGCGCAACCGCTCTTCTCCGCGGCGACGCCCGCGGCGGCAACGAGCTGGGATGACAATCCTCCCCGTCGCAGAGGTCCGCCGACGCAGAAGGGTCCTCCATCAGCGAGCGCTGCATGGCCTCGACCTCTGACTCGTTGCACTGCAGCCTAGAGATCTGCTGGCGCTGCATGCGGACGTCATGGTGGTAGGGATGTGGCTGGGGGTAGAAGGGGCGTTCGGAGCCGAAAGCTGGTAGGTCGGACATCAGGTGCGGGGGGAAAGTCGGGCTTGTTGTTGAGGAGGCAGAGGGCGAGGAGAGACAGTCGACACCGGAGTCGTCGGAGTGGTCTGTGTCTGGTGGTGTGAGGACGTAGCCTGCGCCCGGGGAGCGCCGGGAGCCTTGTGTGTGTCTGCTGGCTCGGTTTTGGTCGCCTAGGGTGTGTTCGTGCAGTTTCTGCGTTAGGGTTGCAATCGATAGGCGCTTGTGGTTGTGGTCTGAGTCATAGGGGAAGGGGACGGAGGTTGGGGGTTGTTGGTTTTGGCTTTGGTTGCGGGTGAAGCGCGAGCGCGAGATGTTGCGGAAGCGTTGGGATTGTGGTGAGGGACAGCGTGAGGAGAGTGGGGAGATTAGGTTGCTGTCGCTGTCGACCATTAGCCGGTCGTCGGTGTCGAGGGCGAGGCGGTCGGGTCGCGACGACGGCGAGGTGAAGGAGAAGTTTTCGAACATTTTCTTTCGGTGCTTCGGAGGCGAGGGCGACGTGGCTTGAGGGTGTGTTTTGAATATTAAGGTTCTTGATCTGCGTTTTCTTTGACGGTAATGTTGTCGGGGTTGTCGGCCTTTGAGAGTTGCGATGTGGGTTTCGAGCCGGAAATTGACCACCTACACTTGGAGGTAGTGGACACGGTTTCGCACAGTGTCTGATCTTCGATTGATATAGCGTAGACGATTATTTGCCCCTCGGGGGAAAAAAATTGGTTGTCGACCACTGGTTGAGGTTGAGGCAAATGTCCACGTGATCGGCAACCACTGTGCGGCAGCGTTAGCACAGACAGGGGTATTTTTTCTATTTTTGTTGATTTGGATTTTTGTATCAAATCAAAGCATTTAAGCAGTAGTTCGGTTTCAAATTCAATGCAATGAATTTCTTCGTCTTTTTTCTTTTTCTTGTGCATTCCCCTGCAAGACTTGCAAGACCCTGGTTCTTAAATGCATGTCGATCCTCATGTGGATACCCGTGCCCTAAGTCGATCTGCATCTGCGGACTGCACGATGGATGTACGGCGTATGGTGTAGTAAGTAGTGTGGTGATCTTGATCAGATATATATTCAATCTTGCATTGTTTGCATCTGCTGGACTTGCCTACTCATATAACTGGGATTTCCTGGCAAAATCATCGAACTATGTACTAGACACGAGATATATTTGTGCTTCACTGAAGTAAATATTATTAGAATTTTACTCTGGCGACTCAACGCATGTACAACAGATAAATCCCATATAATATTACGCCCCAAGTCAGTCTAGTTGAAGTTGTGCATCCAATAGATATAGGCATTGTAAGGGGTAGCGACCATAATCCAAGTAATCAAGTTGAAGACATATAGCAAGGAACAAACATATGAACTCACCGTAATAGGATTAATTCTGGATTACGTCAATAAAGCGAATTTTCTGTGTAGGTGCGAAGAACAAAGTGATTAGAGTGTCATATCATTCAAGCTCGCTGTTTGTAATAGAACTGGATAGAATCCCAAGTGGGTTAGACGATAGGGGCTATGGGTGTGGCTAAACAATGCTGGAGTCATGTAGGTAGAACTAAATATGTGGTTGCTGTATAAAGCTAAAGCTCAGCTGGGTGGACACAACTGGGAGGTCGAGGACGTGATGGGGCCTAGGACGGACTGGACGTTGGTTAAATATCAAAGTCAGTGTAGCAGAAGTAAGGACACCCAGTGGCCTAGTTGGTAAGTCTATCGAGCAGTACCGCTCTAGACTACCCTCTAGGTCAACTGCCAGGTTTAGAACACTGTCGAGAATTACGCACTCACGGCTCTGGGTTCAAACCGTTCGTCCACTTTTTTGATCCTTTTTTTTCTCTCTCCCTACTTTTGTTATATGATAACAGTTCTATGCTTTTCCTACGCCTTTAAAAAGGGTAGATGATATTTGACATGACATTCTGTATTCTGTCAAGGCATTCACTGTATGTCAACAACATAGACTTCAGTATCAAAATGTGCGTCACTCATCCTATTGACTTTGACCTTGGCGTTCTCGGTCACAGAAAGACGTGTGGTCTAGAATGAATCTTTAGTCTAATGCATATAGTAGTTGACTCTAACATATCGCTATAATTTTACATGGAACCATATATGATAAGGAAAAGGAAGTTAGAAGGAAGTGAGGGAAGTGAGAGAAGTGTGGTGAGGCATATACAAGGCTACGTGCCGCCTCGCTTCCTTCTCATCTCCATCTCTTCACTTGCATACTCGCTTCACAGTATGGCAGCTGAACTTCCTGCAAACCAATTACGTCTTATTTCGCCAAAACCAAGCCCTGCAGATTTCTCACCTCGCAAATGAAAGACGACTCTGTCTCCCAAATCCATCCTTTCCAAGGACTCTGTGCTGTTCTTGCCCCGAAGTTCTCAATTACAGCCCTTGTCTGCTCTACCTGGATTTGATTCAAAATCATTGGGAAGTGATAACGATACTTTCAGAATTGAAAAGCTAATGTCAGCAGATCTGAAATCTCCTCCGTCTCTCCAACCAATGTTTCCTGGCGCCATCCCACATTATACTATATCCATCCTGATCATGTAACAGAGCCTACTTTACCTGACAGACAACCCAAATGATGCGGGCCCAGTCATCCGCTTTCGCTATCGCAGTCGCGCCCGGATCGAGATCTCGCAAGACCTTGAATCCTAATCACCGAGGTTCAGGTGTGACTATGATGAAGATGTTATGGATAACATTCTCAACGGCTGCAAAATGATTCTTCATTGCGACCGGATGACTCTCAACATAATACGTTAAGGCCAGGAGTGAAGGCTAGCTCCGGTGCAAAAATAAAAGGAGGTCCAAAGCCTTCCTCCTTGGGCGTCCTTATTCGGAATCTTTTGGGCTCTGGGTTCATAACCGCTGCTGCCCAAGGGTTCCATTCGAATAAGACCGATTCCCACATTCATACCGGTGGCAGAGTAATCGGCAAGCTTATCATGGAACCCACACATAGGTTGTGTTGTTAAGATTGACGATGCGTGGAATTTGTGAACGAAAACACCTCACGCTAGCTACTCCATTGACTCCACTCCAACTCCACTCCGACTATTTGTTTATAGCCCAATATAGAACTTTATACGGAGTATACCCTATTGTATTCCAGTAATGCTTCTAAGATTCATATAATGTGAGGGTGTATGGTTGGATAATGTATCAAAGAGACACGCCTATCGAACGAGACAAAATTGGTCCAGAACATTTCCAACCATATGCCCTTCAATTAAAAAACTTATGGATTCATAACTCATGTTTCCATAGAGTGTAGTATAAAATAGTGGGCTGTTCTGTATTCGCAGACAAATAAGTTGGTTGGTTAAGTATCAAAGTCAGTATAGTACGAGCAAGGACACCCAGTGGCCTAGTCAGTAAGTCTATTGAGCAGCGCCTGCTCTAGACTACCCTCTAGGTCAACTGCCAGGTTTAGAACACTGTCGAGAATTTCGCACTCACGGCTCTGGGTTCAAACCACTTGTCCACTTTTTTTATCATTTTCCTTCTCTCTCCCTATATTAGTTCCTAAAGTATAAAGGAGTATAGAAAACCAATAAGCATCCGTTGGTAACTTGATCGACCATGAGCCATACTGCTCTAGGCTATACTCTAGGTCAACCACCTGCGTTCGAACCCCCTGCGAGTCGCAGTCGAGAATTTCGCACCCACGGCACTGGGTTTGTACACTCTCTTTTTCCCCTTTTCCCCTTCTCTTTAGTCTATATTTCCTTTTGTTCCTCATATCACCTTTTGAAGTATAACAGCATGGTATGGCCTGCATATTAGATACCTGAGCCGTATGCCATCGTCCTGTATGACTTGGTGGATATCCTCCTTTCTATTTGATATTTATACTTCTATCTGTTTCTCAATTAGATGCCACAAATCTTCAATCAAAATTTCTTGGGTAAAGCACGCATGTCTATAAATATTCATGGCCTTCCGGGCTGTAGATAAGATATTCTATGGGAGCTGTTGATAATAAACGCCTGATGGCTCTGCCGCTACTCAAACCAAGGTTTTGTCCCGAAGGACGAGACCGAAAGGGGGAAGTCAGGTTCAAACAAACCTCAATATCCCCTTCACGCACTCACTCGTCTTCATCATCTGGCAAAATATTCACCCAATATTTTCTGGGGAAGAGGAGAGGTGCTTGTGGCTGGGGAACTGGGTCTTGCCCACTAGCCGCATTGACGGCTTCGGCTGCAGCTTCTATTTGCTGTTGTTTGGGTTCGATATGTCTCGGTGCATACCCTTGGTCTTCTTATGGCCTAGTCGCCGGCATGACTGTTTGGCCCTTCGGGGGAGGGTAGGATCAGATGAGGGAGGCGAAGGAGGGTATCGTGCACCTGAATATTGTCAGTCTAAACATCCAACATGATTGCGACGAGAGATGGAGTATTGACAGCCTGAACACGCGCTTTGCAGAGATGGTGATGCCAATGAAGCTGGTCCTTATACCCCTGCATCCTTCGTCGGTTATGATATGCCTACAACTTCTTCTTCGCTGGTGTTCTTGGGCTCCATTCTCGCCGTTTTTGACTTCGTCACTCATAACAGTATCTTCAGTAACTGTGTCAGTCTTTTTGCGATTTTGCATACTGCTTGCAGCCATCTCTGAGGTTATATTTGGTGAAATAATGAAAATGGGGATGAAAGTGGGAGGGAAGTCAGAAGGGATTGAGAAAAAATGATAATTTTTTCTACGTGAGATGTGCAAACAGCCTGTGTCTGTGTTGCTGAATTTGCTAGCGTCTACGTCTGTTGTCCAGTCATCCTCACACTAGAAAAGCAACAACGCGCCTACCACGATCGAGGAGACTAATATATAGAAAGATTGTCTGCATTTTATAAATTTTGCCACCTCCTCGTTCATCTCTGACTTACTAGAAAATTAGCTTGCTGTTCAAGCATATAGCATGTTTTCTATCCTGGTGTCAAAATGAATAAAGCATCATATCATCCAAGCTCGCTGTTTGGTCAGAATAAACACTACTTTATGCTCTAAGTATAGACAAGGGGATGTGAACCAGCAGAGGTAAAAAGGATAAAAAAAGTGGACAAGTGGTTTGAACCCAGAGCCGTGAGTGCGAAATTCTCGACAGTGTTCTAAACCAGGCAGTTGACCTAGAGGGTAGTCTAGAGCGGTACTGCTCGATAGACTTACCAACTAGGCCACTGGGTGTCCTTACTCCTACCATACTGACTTTGATACTTAACCAATAGATGCTTATTGGTTTTTATAATCAGTGATACTGAACTATTATCTAAATACCTGCCACGTTATTATTTTATACCCTAGGAGCTGATATAAGGAATGAGAAAAAAAAAAGAATTAAAAAAGTGGACGAACGGTTTGAACCCAGAGCCGTGAGTGCGTAATTCTCGACAGTGTTCTAAACCTGGCAGTTGACCTAGAGGGTAGTCTAGAGCAGTACTGCTCGATAGACTTACCGACTAGGCCACTGGGTGTCCTTACTCCTATAATACTGACTTTGATACTTAACCAACACCGCTCCCTTCTGAAGTTCTACTTTTGGCAACTTATTTCTCTGTTGTCTCCATGACGAATTACTGCCTGGCCTGCTTAAATCTCCTATCTATCGTTTATTTCCTCCTATACAATTCTCTGTTGTTGTTTCATCGCCGCCACCCTCTTTGACCTCGGGGAATATCATATCTTCCACCAGCAGCTCTGGCTAACAGAGGAAACGGGCTCGTTTCGATTATATTCGGTGGCTCATACCTCTATATGGTCTCCAATACGCTCGAGCGAGGTTTGATTTCCAATTTAACATACCGATCTCTTGCTAGTGTTCAGTTATCGGTACCAGTTTTACAATGCAGGCGCTTCATAACCGCCTTGTGATCGACAATCGGATCCACGAACAGCTTTTGGAGTCTACATCCTTGGCCATTTTTGTCTTCAAACGTTAAGGTTTTGATGATTTGCTCCTCAGCAACACAGTTATTTTCCCCAGAAGCCAAAAGGCAATAATGCTTTTCCGAACATATCCAGTTTACACGCCAATCCGACGAACAATGCATCATATGTCAGTGAGGGTGGAAGACAAAGAATGCATGCCAACCTGAATACAAGTGTTATTGTCGTAATTCTCTATGAATCGCCTATTACAACCGTTGTTTCTGAGGACCTTCTGCCCGAGCATAAGATGCTACCCAAACATACGATCATCCCAAGAAATGATAGGCGGCGACTTTAAGGTGCTTCTGATGGTAGAGTTACTCCTTATTCAGAATTGTTTCTGGATTTGATAATTTTCTCCCAGGGGTTGCATTCAAATACCATGACATATCTCCTAGTACCATGGCTTTCCATATCTCGTATAGCCTCAATTTATACGTTTAAATCCAAACTCATATTTTTTGACAAGGACAGTCTACCAATCCTCTCTGTCCAAATGCTGGTTATCTTTGGTGACTCTTGGCTCTTCGAGGTGGCCTTGTGATAAGTCTATTTTCACACGTATAAAGCCCTCATAGGAGATACAGCACCCAATCCCAATGGAAAACTTATACTTTGGACTTTTATAAAGTTTAGACAAAAGATACTCGTACTTGAAGCGATAGCTGGAAGATATCCGCGTGAGACAGACTTCGTCAGTTGCTACAAACAGGTTTATTGGGAAGGGGAGAGACCTCCCCAGTCAAACAGAGAATGGGCGCAGTCAACGAGGAAGGTGCTCAGCTCTTCAAACTCCCCGCGCGTAAAACATTTCTCTTCCTCTCCTCTTCTCTTTTCGCATCTCATCCCATCCACCTTTCAAAACAGCCATAACCATCACAATGGAAGACCCTCTTTCCCGGGGGGAAACCCCAAAGAATAAGAAAAAGCGGAACCCAAGCTTCCGCCGATATCTACGAGACCATGGAATTGATGTCGTAAGTACTTATATCTACTCTGGTCTCAACCCGTCGAGGTCTTCTGCTTGTCCCATCATAGCTACGCATCGTATGATCTGAATTAACATTTTGGTTGAATTAGCCTTCGCTTGTGCAGGGAGTACGTGACCCTGCGCTTCCCCTAAAGCGCAAGCGTAATCATCGCCGCTATAGGCAAAAGAAGGCGAAGAAGATAGGTATGTTTTATGGTATATATGATACTGGGTAGACGCTAATGATCTAAAGAGACAGAAGCTGCCGCGGCTACCCAAAAGAATGAGGTAGCTGAATCTGCCGACTCTTCGGCTATCGCGAAGAGAAGTTTCTGCCTCATCTCGCCAGTTACAGCGCCCTCGCCTGCCGCTCCCTCACATGCCACGCCCTCGCCTTCCAAGCCCTCGCCCTCGCCTGCTGTCACTTCGCCTGAAAATGTGACATTGCCCATCCGAGGGCTTCGAAATCCCTATAACTAACTAACTGGTTAGTTAATTCTAGTCTCCAAGAATGAAGCTTTTCACCCATAAAAATGCAGACATGTCCATATTTCTAGGTGGTTTCCAAGACAGATGAAGCTATTCAGAGATCACCTAATCTACAATAGATTGCTACCATATGCTTCATGTTTGCTTGCTCGCTTACTGTTTGCATGTCTATTAGTTTGCATCACATAGATTGTTTGCTAGATAGCTAAGCAAAACGTTCGAGGTTACCAACTTTTGCAAAGGGTCAGCGATATCAACTGGCTGCTTCCAATTTGCAACTTGCCTCTTCTTTCTTTCTCCATCCTAGTTATTTTGTATTAGATGCGCTCCTCTCTCTTTGCAAGACCTGGCACATAAAAGGAGTATTGTAAATCTAACACCCCCACAGAATGAAAAGCAATAGTGGCTGTAAAGAGGAGCAACCAGATTATCAAGATCAGTGAGTCTTGAGACCGTGTGTTCTTTGTTCTTTACTAGGCAGTATATCCTAATCATGTAAGCAATATACTTTAAACCATATAGGGTACATATGGCAAGATATGTTCTGTTTTTTTGTTACAGAGTGATCAGGAGAAGCATAACGCATCGTCTGAGCAGGTAGGTGAGGTACATGGTGAAAGGCGAGAATGGTGATTGGATGGAGTATGAAAAACCAATAAGAATCCGTTGGTTAAGTATCAAAGTCAGTGTGGTAGGAGTAAGGACACCCAGTGGCCTAGTCGGTAAGTCTATCGAGCAGTACCGCTCTAGACTACCCTCTAGATCAGCTGCCTGGTTTAGAACACTGTCGAGAATTACGCACTCACGGCTCTGGGTTCAAACCGTTCGTCCACTTTTTTAATTCTTTTTTTTTTCTCATTCCTTATATCAGTTCCTAAGGTATAAAGTGCAGAATTTGCTCTCAGTAGGTCAATTGCGAATAATGTGGCAGGTAGTTAGATAAAATTTCAGTATCACTGATTATAAAAACCAATAAGCATCTATTGGTTAAGTATCAAAGTCAGTGTGGTAGGAGTAAGGACACCCAGTGGCCTAGTCGGTAAGTCTATCGAGCAGTACTGCTCTAGACTACCCTCTAGGTCAGCTGCCTGGTTTAGAACACTGTCGAGAATTACGCACTCACGGCTCTGGGTTCAAACCGTTCGTCCACTTTTTTAATCCTTTTTTTTTTTCTCTCCCTGTAGTAGTCTCTACGGTATAAAACAACAATATGGTAGTCTTTTAATAGACACTGGCTTGGTATTGCTCTTCCCCACGGACAATAACCATTTATTGATGTGACGCGCTAACATTTCTATTAAGGGGGATAGAAGAGAACCATAACATAAAGCTGTGATACGACGCGAAATGGTTTGTTTAGATAGATCCTTGCCTAAGGGATAGCTATATAAACAGGAAGCTTCCCAATTTTCAACTTGCTTCTTCTTTCTCTTCATCTAAGTTATTCTGTATTGTGTGCACACTTCTCTTGCAAGACCTGCCACGTCACACTAATCTGTATATACAGACTCTCCTACCGCGGCATGCTCGCTCTCGCCCTCACCCTCGCGTACTATTTTGCCTTCCTTTAGATGCACGGCCGCTAAGTCTCCCTCACCTAGTGCCCGTGACCATGTGGGCCAAAGAGGAGGCTAGCCCATCTTCTCAGAGTATGCAAGAGGAGACAGAGGCTGATGATTTTGTGTGGGATGCCGTGGACCCTCTGGGTCTCCTTGAATAACTGGAGAAACTCCCTGGATTGATATCAGCAGGGCTTCTCGATTGGGAGATGGGTTGTTGGGGGCCTAGAGGGGCCATACCTCATTCTTGACATTTGTTTGGGATAGAGTTATGAGGCTCCATCGGAAATCTGGTCCGTGCGTTTTTTTGATAAATGCAATTTCAACGTCTTCCTTTACCATTTTCATTGAGTTTTTGGTCTTTACTTAATCGTAATTAAAAAAGCAGAGCTACGAGCTATAGGTAGAGACTATGGAAGAGATCTATCAAATATCTTGTTTGAAAGCTCGAGATATTGGCAGTATTCGTTACTATGACCGATTATCACGTGATTGAGATTGGTTAAGTACCAAAGTCAGTGTATAGTATTCATGCGAAACCCAGTGGCCTAGTTGGTAACTCGACCATGAGCCATACCTGCTCTAGAAGGAAATATGGTAATCGTCCATAAAAACATTGTAAAATAATATGAAGAAGTCTACGGGGGATAGAACCTTGGTGGTGCCCTTATAATAAATTTATCAACGATCAAGAAAAATAGATCTAATGCTATAATAGCTTCTAATTTAACCTTATGTATTCTGTTATGTTCTGAGCAGGCCATATCTTGCGCATGAAAAGAGCACGAAGCTCACCCGCTCATTTCATGACGTGACAGAAGTTTTGATCTTGGTCTTTTTCTAATCATGGTGTGATGAACTTGAAAACATCCATGAGGCTTTGTACCGACCTTGAAGTTCACCAAAACCCACTGAAACCCCCTGGATATCAGAACTGGGCCAAGTGAGCAAAACTTGGACGAGTTCGAAAGACCAGGATAAGTAAAGGAACTCAAACCCTCTTGAAGTATTGGAGCATTAAACCCAGATCCTGTACGATGTTATCAGACCGTATCCAAGTTGAGATGTGATATGCCCGGAGGTAACTCTAGTCAGTAAGTGACAGCGAAGATAATTCTGAGCCCAAGTGTGCAAGTGGCGCATGGAGACATCCTAGCTGTGTCATGACCTGAAGACCCCAGTTTTCAGTATTTCTTCCGCCACCATCGTTTCAAAGGGCCTCGCTTCTAGCCCACGAGAGTGAGAGCTTGTTGGCGAATCTCGCAGATGTATGGGCTCACAAAGCGACGGACGATGCGTGATAGAGTACAGCTCTAGAAAACATCAATTAGAGTCACTGTCTTCGAGAAATCAATGACACTTATCATGTAGTAATTCTTCGATTCTTCTGATGATAAAATGGCAGCATGTGTTGTAGAATATTCCAATATTGCGTCTCATCTTACAATGGAGTTGGCCTCGAGAATGCCCAACTGATAGTCAGCATATGAGGATCCAGCCCGGTTCTAGATGAAACTTGGTTGACGACTGATGAATTTAGAAGTGGAAATAATTGTGGGAGAGAAGAGAAAGAGAAAAGGCGCAAATGGAGACAGCAAGCATGAGCAAACGAGCGAGACTGGGTTTTGTGCCCACTACGCCGACATTTTTTGTACGCTCTAATCTTTTTCTCTTTGTTTACGACCCAAGAAAACAGATTTACACGCATTGCAGGAAGTTATTGCAGGCACAAGCTTCAGGGCAAACTATCATATTCATGTTGGCCTTATGTTGACATGGTCTTCGTCCACCGACTTGACCTCGGTATAGACGAGAGTGTGAGCTCAGTCACAACCAATAAATCTCATGGTATGTTAATTGATTGACCATGAGAGCAGAACACTTCCAAGTCTAAGCTGAAACCCGGTGTTGCGGGGGTTGAAGTAAATCGGGGACTATCGCGGGACCGCGGACTTTTGTCCGCCCAACTCCACTTCTTATCAATGACCATACAAAGTACTCCAGACCTTCCAGCTTTCCTTTATAAAGCGATAGTACGCATGGCGCATTCTCTGTTTTTACGAAATCCCCCAAGAAAGTATCTTCAACTTGTGAAGCCTCTCATTTTGAACCCTGCTCGAACACTTTCTTCATCACGTATACAAGCTATGTTGACAACAGAGCTCTCTGAGACTCAGGTCTCTGCGCTCAGGGCTAACAAGGAGCGCCTGGCCAATGATCTTCATCATTCGTGTCAATGGGGATCTGGGATCAGGTGGGGAGAGTAAGATACAACCATATTTTCCAAGGCGACTGGAGAATAACCGCTAACAAAAGCCTCGGCGACTTGATAGTGGACCTACAGATACCGGCATGCAGCGCCTGGCGATTTCAGAAGATGACAAGCACGTCCGTGATTGGTTCATCCGGACTATGAAAGATCTCAAGTGCAACGTCACCGTGGACGAGATGGGTAATATCTTTGCTGTTCGTCCTGGTCGGAGAGCGGATGTACCTGCCACCTTTATTGGGAGCCATCTCGATACACAACCGACCGGTGGGCGGTACGATGGTATTCTGGGTGTGTTGTCAGGTATCGAAGTCATCAAGACTATGAATGACATGGGTCTGGAAACGGAAGGCGGAGTCGGGGTTGTCGACTGGACCAAGTAAGATCCCACGTTCAACCTGGACAATGATCATCACTGACCGTGTCCAGCGAGGAGGGCGCCCGATTCCCGATCAGCATGATCTCGAGTGGTGTATGGGCCGAGTGCATCCCATTGGCGCAAGCACATAATCTCAAAGAAGTCCCAACTGTGGCATCGCTGCCAACAGCGGCATCAGCACCAGAGACTATGAAGAGCGCCTTGCAGAAGATTGGTTACTTGGGTGATGTCCCATGCTCGTACAAGTCGACCCCGATGGCCGCCCATTTCGAAGTGCACATTGAGCAAGGCCCATACTTGGTGTCGGCAAACCAGCGGGTCGGAGTTGTGACAGCTGTGCAGGCCTACAAATGGTTCCGTCTCAACGTCATCGGGCGAGATACACACACAGGAACCACTGCCTTTGAACATCGAGCAGACGCTCTCTATGCATTCGCCCAGATGATGGTGCGCGCACGGGAAGTGGCAGCTTCGAAGGGTTGTCTAGCCAGTGTCGGCATTGTCGAAGCGAAGCCCGGCAGTGTGAACACAGTTCCTGGAGAGGTGAGCTTTAGCTTGGATATCCGTGGGCCTGAGACAGAGCTAGTTGCCGAAGTCGAGAAGGAGCTGCGCGCTGATTTCGACGCTATTGCCGCCGCTGAGGGTGCTGGTATTGGTAAACCTTGTCGCGTTGAGTGGACTCTAGACTTCGACTCACCTGCAATCAAGTTCCATGAAGACTGCATTAAGTGTGTGGAGCAGTCAGCTCAGGCTGTTGTCGCAGATGCTTCTGTTGCGGATACAA